GAGGGTACGGGCATTGGGCAAATGTTTCCGGTCCAAATGGGAGAAATTGACCAAAATAAAGGGGCTACAGGCCTCATGCAAGTCTGAAACTTGGCAGAGCAGTCATTAAATCTTAAGGCTCTGAAATAATCTCCTTTGACTCTATGTCTCACATGTAGGCCACCCCAGGGCATGCTGATACAAGAGGCGAGCACCCACAGTCTTGGTCTTGGGCAGCTGTCCCTGCCTTCCTGTGGCTCAGCAAGGTACAGCCCCTGTGTCCGCTTTCATGGGCTGGTGTTGAATACTTGCAGCATTTCCAGGCACATGGTGGAAACTGTCAGTGGATCTACCTTTCTGGGGTCTGGAGATGGGTGCCCTCTTCTCACAGCTCCACTAGGCAATGCCCCAGTGGGGACTCTATTGGGGGTCTACAACCCCACATTTTCTTTCCACATTGCTGTAGCAGAGGTTCTTCTTGAGGGCTCCTTTTAGCTATGGCTGGTGCTGGATCCGCTGGGATGCATGGAACCAAGTCCTGAGGCTGCACAGAGAAGTTGGCCCCTGGGCGTGGCCCAGGAAACTATTTTTCCCTCCAAGGCCTCTGGGCCTGTGATAAGAGGGGCTGCCATGAAGGTCTCTGACATGCCCTAGAGACATTTTCCCCATTGTCTTGGCTATTAACATTTGGCTCCTTGTTACTTATGCAAATTTCTTCAGCCAACTTGAATTCCTTCTCAGAGAATTGGTTTTTCTTTTCTACCACATAGTCAGGCTGCACATTTTCCAAACCTTTATGCTCTGCTTCTCTTAAACATAAGGTTCAATTTCAAACTCTGTGAATGCGTATAAATGAACACTTTCAGAATAAGCCAGGTTACCTCTTGAATGCTTTGCTGCTTAGAGATTTCTTCTGCCAGATACCCTAAACATCTCTCCCAAGTTCAACGTTCCACAGATCTCTAGGGCAGGGGCAAAATGCCGCCAATCTATTTGCTAAAGCATAGCATGAGTGAGCTTTACTCTACTTCCCAATTAAGTTATTTATCTCCATCTGAGACCACGACAGCCTGGACTTCATTGTCCATATCACTATCAGCATTTTGGTCAAAGACATTCAGCAAGTCTCTAGGCTAAAGTTCCTAACTTACCCACATTTTCCTGTCTTCTGAGCCTCCTGAACTGTTCCAACCTCAGCCTTTGACCCAGTTCCAAAGTCGTTTCTACATTTTTAGGTTATTGTTATAGCAGTGCCCTATTCCCAGGACCAGTTCTCTGTATTAGTCCATTTTCACACTGCTGTAAAGATACTACCTGAGACTGGGTAATTTATAAACAAAAGAGATTTAATTGACTCACAGTTCCACATGGCTGGAAAGGCCTCAGGAAACTTACAATTATGGTGGAAGGCAAAGGGGAAGCAAGGCTCGTCTTACGTGGTGGCAGGAGAGAGACAGCAAGCAGAGGAAACTGTCACTTTTAAAACCATCAGATCTTGTGAGAACTCCCTCACTATCCCAAGAATAGCATGGGGGAAACCGTCTCCATGATCCAATCACCACCAGGTCCCTCCCTTGACATGTGGGGATGACAATTTGAGATGAGATTTGGGTGGGGACACAGAGCCAAACCATACCACCAACCTTTTACTTTCTTCAAATGTTGACACATTTATTGTATAATATTAATCAAATTCATTGATATTACCACTAAAATCAGAAAGTGTTAGAAATCTGTCAAATTCCTTACGGAGAATGTAGATTTTCCAAACTTTTACATTCAGGGGTACATGTGTAGGTTTGTTACATAGGTTAACTCCTGTCATGGGCGTTTGTTGTACAGATTATTTAGTCACCCAGGTATTAAGTCTAGTACCCATTAGTTATTTTTCCTGATCCTCTCAGTCCTACTCTTCACCCTCTAGTAGGTCCCAGTGTCTGCCGTTCCCCTCTCTGTGTCCATGTGTTCTCATCATTTACCTCACACTTATACGTGAGAACATTAGGTATTTGGTTTTCTGTTCCTGCATTAGTTTGCCAAGAATAGTGGTCTCCAGCTCCATCCATGTTCCTGCAAAGACATGATCTCATTCTTTTTTATGACCGCATAGTATTCCACGGTGTATATGTACCATTTTTCCTTCATCCAGTCTACCATTGATGGACATTTAGATTGATTCCATGTCTTTGCTATTGTGAATAGTGCTGCAGTGAACATCCCACAGCCAACCTTTCAAGAGTGACCCATGCGGCGTGCATCTAAATCACACTGGGAATTTAATCGGTTTTGGTTGGAGGGAGAGTTATAAGTGAAGGAGAATACCTCTACCTCTTAATTCTTTCTGATTTTCAGTTTAATTATCTTACAAGAAATGAGTCAGTTTCTCTACCATGTTATCTTAACATATTCGTCTTCCTTTATATCAAGCACTGTCTTTTTACTGGTTAGAGTAAGTTCAGAACGTCTGCTCCTTTCATTGTTTACTCATTACCAGTTGAAATAATCAAGAATGTTGTTTAAGAATTTGTCAGACCCACTTTTTAGAGAATGAGATTTTTGGCAGGCATTAGCAGCATTGAAGTCTCCCCTCACTATTGTAATTGGCTTCTGGGCCAGTCCCACAGTCTGTACTAGGATAGTGTGTAACTTTTTACGTTGTCAGCATCATGCAACCACAATAATGAAATTATTTATTTATTTATTTATTTATTTATTTTTGAGATGGAGTCTTGCTCTGTTGCCCAGGCTGGAGTGCAGTGATGCAATCTTGGCTCACTGCAACCTCTGCCTCTTGGGTTCAAGTGATTCTCCTGTCTCAGCCTCCCAAGTAGCTGGGATTACAGGTGCATACCACACCACCTGGCTAATTTTTGTATTTTTAGTAGAGACAGGGTTTCACCATGTTGGCCAGGCCGGTCTCGAACTCCTTACCTCAAGTGATCTGTCTACCTCAGTCTCCCAAAGTGCTGGGACTACAGGCACGATGAAATTCTTTTTTTTTTTTTTTTTTTGTCTCTTTATTCTTCGCATCATTTTTTCTCTGCCATGTCAGAGTCTTGTTTTGCCATTGTAGGTGCACACCTTGACATTTAGTTTCTCTGCCTTACCTGTCATTTGAAAAAAAGGTGGTCTATAATAATAGTTCAGAATTAAGGCTGTGCAGTCAGCCTGGATTTGAATTACTGCTTCTCCACTCGACAGTTGAGTGGTCTCTCTCGTGAGTTAATTAACTTTATCTGCCTCAGATCTTTGTTGTTTTGTTTTCCTGGAAGTAAAACAAGGATAATAGTTCCTCCTTCATAGGTGTGCCGTGGAAAGCACAATAAGTAACACAGTGCATATAACCTATATAATACATAGTAACTGAAACAAGTGCTCAATACATGTTGGCTGTTATTATTATTCTAGTTTTTATTTTAAACAAGGTATTTATTTATTTATTTATTTATTTATTTATTTATTGAGACGGAATCTCGCTCTGTCGCCAGGCTGGAGTGCAGCGGCGCCATCTCAGAATCTTGGCTCACTGCAACCTCTGCCTCCCAGGTTCAAGTGATTCTCCTGCCTCAGCTTCCCGAGTAGCTGGGACTACAGGTGTGCACCATCACGCCCAGTTAATTTTTGTATTTTTAGTAGAGACGGGGTTTCACCATGTTGGCCAAGCTGGTCTCGAACTCCTGACCTCAGATGATCCACCCACCTCAACCTCGCAAAGTGCTGGGATTACAGGTGTGAGCCACTGCACCTGACCATGTAATTCTTTTAAGTCACTATGTCCATCTTGCCAAGTCTTATGTGATATTTACAAAGCATATTAACCTTGAAATCGTTTATTGTACCTGACTTGTTTTGTTGTTAACTTTCATGAATTACTAAACAGCTTATTCCATGTTAGTGATTTGTTTTATGCTTTTAATCTTCCACAACTATTTGTAATCAATCTGTGTATCTTTTTAAACTCTGAAGTCAGTTGGTCATCTGCTATATGTCATGCACCCATATAGACCTGAATGTAGGGATGAATATAACAGGGTTCCTGCACTGAAGGAATTCACAATTAAGCTTATGGAGGGTTAGGGAGGATAAGCAGAAACCTTTGTAGCTAACTGTGATAGGGTGTGAGGAGTAGCTTAGAAGAGAATAGATAGGTTAGCTTTCAGCAGAGGAAACAGCATGAGCAAAGATCCAGAAACAAAAGTTTACGAAACAAAGGTGAGATATGGAAAGTGGGTTGGGGCTAGATAGTAAAGGGCCTTGAAAGCTTTCAGAGAACTTTGGCAATGGGGAGCAATAGAAGGTTTGAAAACAAGGACATCTTATCAGAATTGTGCTTTAGAAGGAGAACAACAAAGACAGAGTGAAGGGCTAAAAGGAGAAAGCCTAGAGCCAGTTAGGAAGCTCTGTACTAAGCCTAGAAAGGTTAGCAAGAGTGGGGATGAGAGGTGACTTGAGGGGCATTTGGGATTCAAATTGATTTGACAAATGAGAATTGTGTACCAATTTTGTGCCAGACCCTGTGCTAGGCTCTGTGTTAGAAATACTGCAGAGAATCACTTACAGCTTCTGCCCAAGATCTAGTGGTGACACAACCACTATCGCTAAGAGGAAATGCAATTCAGAGGTGGTTCTGAGGTTCCTGCACGGAGACATGTGTGGATAGTAGCACTTCATTTCTGAGTTTATGGAACGTGGATGTGGGAGCAGAGTTGAGAGGGGGAAAGAGAATGAGCTTAGTTTTGAATATGGTTTATCCGTAGACTTTCTGACTGCTCCTTGGCAGGGCATTAATTATGTTAGTCGAGCTCAGAGGAGAAGTTGAGACAGTAGTGATTATTCTTTTTCTTCTGCCAAACACATTATAAACTGGTTATTTTCTTTATTTTTAATTTTTAAATTTTATTTATTTATCCTTTATTTATAACATATGTACGTATGTTGGAGTCTTGCTCTGTCTCCCACGCTGGAGTGCAGCGATGCGGTCATAGCTCAGTGCAGCCTCAAACTCATGGGTGCAAGTGTTGCTCTCACCTTGGCCTTCTGGGTCGCCGGGATGATAAGCATGAACCACCATGCCTGGCTGTGAGGTAACTTTAAAGCATTCTAGCTTTCTGTTGTAGATTCTAGCTTTCTGTGTTAGAAAACCATATTGTGGAAAAGATTTCCAGTTGCCCACCTGTTTTACGATGTACCTGGGACTTGCCTTAATCACGTACAGTAGGAGACAACTGCTTTAATCATGTCACGGAGACAACTGCTTTGAAAGAAGAGTCTTTTATTTCACAGTTCCCAATAGGAGGTGGCATGCTATGCCATGCAGGGCCACTTAGGGACGCACTGGAGTTGGTCAGGAGGAAGAAGGAGAGGGGAAAACATGAGCCAGAGCCTTCGTTGTGTTTTTCATAGGGAAGCGATGAGTAAGGTACGGTGGAAAGCTGAGCAAGTTTAGGATTGGGTAGTTTGAATAATTTCAGCAGGCTCCAGGCTCTCAAGATGGTCCCTAGTTATCAGGTGCCTGGCCCTGGGGTGATTGAAAGCAAGGTCATAGTGTCCTGGGCTCGTTTTCTACGTCCTAAGCAAAGGAGGTAGATGGGAGGGGCAGTATGGATTCAGGATTGGCTGGTTTGCTTATCCAAGGTGTTTTCTCAGGCAAGTTGTTTGCTAACTCTAGGAATTAGCTAACCTTGGGAGGGCACGCCTTCTCTGGGTCTGCAAGGCCCGAAAGTGTCAAAGCATAAAATACAGAAAATAAACATGGTCAACGCACTACCCAGTATCTATTGTCCCTTCTGTATTTATAGAACCCAGTTGTGAGAGGGTGCGCAATGCATGCACTGCATTCCTATTCTTTTCAGTTAGGGGTTGCCAAGGGGCTATAGGCAGAAGTCACTTGGTGATGCTCTCAGGGAACTTTTTATATGAGTAACTCTTGGGAGGCATATCCGGTGTGCTTCCCCAGACTCTCATCCTACAGCTTTTTCTTTTTTGTCTGAAATGTGGACATTTCATGGCTGGATTTCCAGTTGCCATCTTAGACCATGAGGCAATCTTCAGAATGGAAGATAGAAGAAGCTGGTATCTGCGATCACCATGCAACCACCATACCAGCCTGGACAGTTTGCCTCTGGACTGCTTTGGGGAACACAAATTTACCTCTCCTCTAAGCCACTTATTTGTGTTATGTACTTAAACCTAATTCTTCCTTATTCATACATTGTTGACTTTATCTCTATATACGTGAGCAACTCTTTACTCTTACCTTTCTTTTACATGACCTTCCACGGCAAGAAGAAGTAAAATCTTATCGTTATTCCCACGGTCCTTTAGGTTTTAAACTAATGTCTCATTAAATTTAGGGAAGGGAGTGGGATATGAAAAGTACACAAACCTTAGCAATTAACTTTAAAAAGAGTGAACATAAGCGTACTTTAATATAAACTAAGTACTGTTTAATTCTGCATGTAATCCTGAGTGAAGATCCTTAATTAATAGCCCCTTGTTAAATAGAGGAGCTCTTAGGTTAAGAACAGAAGTATTGTTCTTATGCTTCCCTTGGCAGTATTACAGCAGACTAGAAATCCAGAGTGGGTCTGAGACTTCCCACTGCAAGTGCAAGATCGGGATGTAAGCCTGGCCACTTTCTGGTGAGGCTTCTCTTGCTGGCTTGTAGCTTACTGCCATCTCCCTGCATGTAAGCCAGGCTCCCAAGGAGCAGGCCTTTTCATTCTAATCCAGGATCGATGGCACTGGACTTTTACAATTTTATGCACTTAAACCTCACTCCAGGTGGATAGTGGCTCCTAGTGGAATTCCTTTTCTGTATCTCTGAGTCCTCCCTCCTGAGGAATGAGACTTTTTACTCTTCTGAGTAATTCTGAGCCTCCTCCATTTGGTGCCGCTCATCTTTCTGTTTTGGGTAGCTCAGAGCCCTACACCCTTTGAAACTGAGTCCAAGTCCTCCATCATCTTTGTGACCTAGATCTCTTCCTTCTCTATGTGACACTGGACACTACTCATTTGCATTTTAGCAAAGAGCTGCTAAGTTTAGGTTCATAGATGGAATGTGACAATCCATATCATCTGTGAAGAGGACAGACTAACCTGAAAGAGCCAGAGAGGATTCCCTAAATTGTGCTGTACGACAGACTAAATTGGGCAGAGACGAGAGACAGGTACAGTGAAGCAACAGGTAGAGGAGTAGATTAACGAGAAAAATATCACATCAGTGAGGAGATTCTACATATCAACAGAAAGAACAAAGATCAGGACTGCCTAGTTGCTGACATGATGGGACTCACTGACGGGGTGTTCCTGATTGTATGTGGCGCTCAGTTCACACTGGGAATTCTGGTCAATGGTTTCATTGGTTTGGTCAATGGTAGGAGCTGGTTCAAGACCAAGAGAATGTCTTTGTCTGACTTCATCATTGCCACCCTGGCACTCTCGAGGATCATTCTGCTGTGTATTATCTTGACTGATAGTTTTTTAATAGTATTCTCTGTCAACGAACATGATTCAGGGATAATAATGCAAATTATTGATGTTTTCTGGACCTTTACAAACCATCTGAGCATTTGGTTTGCCACTTGTCTTGGTGTCCTCTACTGCTTGAAAATCGCCAGTTTCTCTCACCCCACATTCCTCTGGCTCAAGTGGAGAGTTTCTAGGGTGATGGTATGGATGCTGTTGGGTGCACTGCTCTTATCCTGTGGTAGTATCGCATCTCTGATCAATGAGTTTAAGCTCTATTCTGTCCTTAGGGGAATTGAGGCCACCAGGAATGTGACTGAACACTTCAGAAAGAAGAGGAATGAGTATTATCTGATCCATGTACTTGGGACTCTGTGGTACCTGCCTCCCTTAGTTGTGTCCCTGGCCTCCTACTTTTTGCTCATCTTCTCCTTGGGGAGGCACACACGGCAGATGCTGCAAAATAGTACAAGCTCCAGAGATCCAAGCACTGAGGCCCACAAGAGGGCCATCAGAATCATCCTTTCCTTCTTCTTTCTCTTCTTACTTTACTTTCTTGCCTTTTTAATTGCATCATTTGGTAATTTCCTACCAAACACCAAGATGGCTAAGATGATTGGCGAGGTAATGACAATGTTTTATCCTGCTGGCCACTCATTTATTGTCATTCTGGGGAACAGCAAACTGAAGCAGACATTTGTAGAGATGCTCCGGTGTGAGTCTGGCCACCTGAAGCCTGGATCCAAGGGACCCATTTTCTCTTAGAGTAACAGAGGGCCTGGGGTGGAGCCCGTGAGCCTTTTGCCTGGCTCAAGACTATGGGATTCTTCCTGACCCTCCCATGATACCAGTTCCATAACATCACTAGGAGAGAAACCCTGACTGCTTTGCCCCTGGTCCCTGAGGACCTCTACCAAGGTGAAAGCTATGCTTCTCACGACCTCTGTCTGTATGGTGGTTGCGGAAGTGGGGAGGGCGCAGGAGTAGTAGTGTTTTGGAAGTGACAATGTTGTGAGAACACTCTCACTATAAACACACGGTGCTGTATTTCAATGATCATCAGCTCCACACAATGAGTCTGATTACTAGTTTCAACTTAAATTAGATACTAACAGTGATAAACATAAAATTACATAGTAGACTTGAAGGAAAGAGCAAAAGTTTTGCAGTCCTGTAGATGTGGGCTCGAGTTCTGATTCTGGCCAAGATTTTTGGCCTCAGGTGAGTTACTTTAATTACCTGTCTGATCCCCTCTTCTGATCCCTACTGGCCATTTTAGCACAGTGTGTTATGTAAAGTACTGAGTAAGTGAAGGCTGTTATTGTGCTAATATTGGATTGTGCAGCAACAGCAATTTCCATATGATTCCAGTTTCCACAAACCCATTGTGTAATGATGAAAACAGTGGAAAGAAAATTAAGACCTTTAGATTCTAGATTCCAATTCAATCTTGCATTTCATGATCATTTTGCTGAAGTACATTTTCAAGTAATTATTTTGTAGATTGACCAAAAGACCAAGTGGTTTTGTTTTTATTTTCGACCAAGATGCCTACCTGGTTTTAAAGTTACAGTTTTATCAAATGTAATATAAGCAAATTTTATGTTTAATCAATTTTATTTAAACAGAAGTATATAGATGCTGATTTACTTCCAGTTATTAACAATTTTGACATGTCAATGAAAAGATATTGCTTAATATCCTGAAGAATTCTCAAATTTGTAAACATATTCAGTTAATACATATGGCATTATTCAGAAATGTGGATTTCTAGTCCTAATGGGACTCTCAGAAGTGGATTGTTGTGGCTAAGAATGTGGACCCTGAAGCCAGACAACCCGTGTTTAAATTTGGCTTTGGCCCTTTTGAACTGGGTGACCTTGGGGAAACTTCCTAACCAGTCTCTATTTAACTTTCTTCATTTGTAAAATAGAAATAGTAATTGTGTGCGTATGTGTGTTGGGATAAAGTTGTTGGAAGGAATGAGTGAATTAACACATGAAAAGTGCTGTCCTACATGGAGTAAACACACAATAAAACTGCTATCGTTGTTATTTTGTGAAAAGGAGCATATTTTGACATAATAAAAAGGACTATATTTGGACATAGCATGAATGTCCATTACATTACTGGACATTTGGTCATATGTAACCGGAAATTAACATTAGGGTTGTTCTGGGATTTATATCTTAATTTCTAAAATGACGGGAAAACATTTCCTTTGGTCTGCACAGTTTGCATTATCCCATTGGATTAAACACCTCCCCAACCAGCAGGTGGGGGCTCAGGAGAAAAACCATATTACTGATAGATAAAATAAAGAACTGACTTGTTTTCAGCACATTTGAGCTTGTAGAGTGAGTAAATTTTGTTGGCCACACTATCATTAAATTGTCATTGTGACTTGGTGGAGCTGGGTCAATCGTCTGAGCAACATTTCCAGGTTAACTCTGAAATACATATTTTCAGAAGTTGATGAGTGGAGTTTCTTAGCCGTGTTCTGTCTGATCTCAGTTTCCATTTGTGGCCAGACAGGGTATTCATAGCCAGAGAGGAAGGATTTCTGAGTTATCCTTGGCTTTTCAGGCTTCTCCCCTTATTGCCCAGCTGGCAGATCCCCCTTGAAAAAAGGATGAGCGCTGCCTAGCTTCTGGATGTTGCTGTAATAGCCCAGGAATGAATACATTTCTCACTTCATTTTGATTCTGGCTAGCCTTGATTCCAGTTCATTCCTTCCTGCCACAAACATTTATTTAACACTTACTGTGTACCAAGCACTGTACGAGACCAAGCACTGTACGAGACGCTTGTTCCTTGAACACGGTTCTGTTCTCAAAAACATTTCTTAGTGGGCCATAAAGACACAGTAACAAGTATTTAATTGCTGCATCACTGAAACAGGTGCTTCAGGTACAATAAAGGGATCATCCTATCTTGAGGGTCCTGGTGCAGGTGATGTTTGTCTCTAGACCCCTTTTGTGTCAGCCTTGAAAATGTGCACTCAGATCTCTGCTGTGGAGGCTCAATTGGCTGATGGCTCCAGCTTGGGAGATCCACTACGGTGAGGCCACATTTCCTGCAGTCTTCTCCCAGCCAGTGGTGGAGCACTGTGGAGTACTAAGGCAAGTCTGTTTTGCTGAGACATGGGACTCCTCTAACAGGCAATTTTGGCCAAGGACTCTGCATCAGCTTGGTTGAAGTTTTCTTGGACCTCTACTGCACTTTTGAACTCTCTCTACCCAATTATTCCCTACCCCACTTTACCTCTTCCCCTTTTATAGCTGTCAGACCTACATTGCTATCTGAATACTCTGCTCACTTCCTCTGGCTCCCATCCACCTAAGATCTCTTGCACATCTAATCTTTTTTAAGCCTCTGCCTCTTGGCAGACCTCTCATATAAGTAATCTCTTTATTAAAAAGCTAGTGCAGACGATAAAGATACTCACTAAAAGACATATAAGTGTATGTGCGTGTGTGTGTGTGTGTGTTCAAAGTGTACCAGAATTCTAGAAATCATTCCAGATTCTGCCTTCTCCTACAACCTCAATATCCATTTAGTTGCCAGATCCCCTTTGTTGTACTTCAAAACATTTCTTTCACATGTTTCCTGGTCTCCATTTCCACTCTTTTCAGCCCATCAGAGTGATTGCAACAGGATTCTAACTAGTTTCCTGTTTCCAACTCCATCCCCTTTCAGCAAAGCCTTTCCTCGTTACTTGGATTGTATTCTTCATACAGTGAAAAGAGGGGAGTAATGCTCCCCTCTTAAAAGTCTTGCAGTGGCTGTCCATTGCTTTGGGTAAAGTCCAGACTACTTAGTTTACAGCATAAAGCCAGTCATCATTTGGCCTCTGTTTTCTTTTCAGTTTCATTTTCTTGTTCCTTGCTTCTCCAAAAGAACTTTGAACTGCTTCTAGTTCCCAAATATGCCGTACTCTTCTTGCTGCTATGCTTTTCCATGTGCTGCTTTCTATACCTAGAATTATCTTTCTTATCAACTGTGTCAACTTCTCTTATTCTTCAAGACCTCCCTCCTCCAGGAAACTTTCTCTGATTCTTTTAGGTGAAGCTAAGCACTTATTCTGTGTGTTTTTTCTAACGTGGTACATGCCTCTGATCACATTCGTGTAATAATTATGTCCAAATTCGGTACCTACTATGGCATAGATACTTCCTGATTTATCTTTTCAGTTTCATCTCCCACTGTTTCTCTTCCTATCCTTGTACCCCTCCCCTCTTCTGTTTTCTGAACCCACCACACACTATCACCTCTTAGTCTGCATGTAGAGTTCTCTGCTTGCAATGTCCTTCTTTCTCCCTACCTTAGCTTTTTTTGGATAATCTCTTTGCATCCTTTAAGACTGAATGTATATGTCTTCTCAGTTCCTGAACTGCCAAAACTGGATCAAGTGTGCCTCCTGAACACTCCTGTTGTGCTCCTTGTGTTTCCTTATTATGGCATCTAAAACTCTCAACTCTAATTGTCTATTCATCTGTCTTTTTTTTTTTTTTTTTTACCATTTCATATATTCTTTGAAGGCAGGTATGCTGTGGGTGATTCTTCTCTGTTTCCCCAGCACCTAACAGTGCCTGGCTGATAACCACAGTTCATAGAATGAAAGAACTAGTGAGGGAAGTCTAGTGTAGTAGAAAGAGCTCAGTCTCAGACCTTTCAGCTTAGCCAGTCGTTTGCTGCTATGGTTTGGATGTCCCCTCCAAAACTCATGCCAGAATGTAATTGTACCCTTGTAACAGTGTTGAGAGGTGGGGCCTTTAAGAGGTGACTGGGTCATGAGGGCTTTGCCCTCATGAATGGATTAATGCAGGAGTGGGTTTTTATTTATTTATTTATTTATTTTTTGAGACGGAGTCTCGCTCTGTTGCCCAGGCTGGAGTGCAGTGGCCGGATCTCAGCTCACTGCAAGCTCCGCTTCCCGGGTTTACGCCATTCTCCTGCCTCAGCCTCCCAAGTAGCTGGGACTACAGGCTCCTGCCACCTTGCCCGGCTAGTTTTTTGTATTTTTTAGTAGAGACGGGGTTTCACCGTGTTAGCCAGGATGGTCTCGATCTCCTGACCTCGTGATCCGCCCGTCTCGGCCTCCCAAAGTGCTGGGATTACAGGCTTGAGCCACCGTGCCTGGCCTAGGAGTGGGTTTGTTATTGCAGGAGTTTGGCCCCCTTTTCCTGTCTTGTTCTCATGTACACATTCTTGCCCTCTGCCATGTTATGAAGTACTAAGTAGTCCTCATTAGATGCCGAGCTGATGCCAGCACCATGCTTTTGGACTTCCCAGCTTCCAGAACTGTGAGCCAACTAGACTTCTTTATAAATTTCCCAATCTGTGGTATTCTGTTACAGCAGCAGAAAATGGGCCAAGGCATTTGCTCTGGTGTTAAGCAGTCACTTATTTTCCCTGATCTTCATTTTCCTCACTCATAAATAGGATAACCATATACTCCTCCTAGGATGCCTGGTGCACTGCTGGGAACATAGTAAGCATTTTAAAAAAACACAAGAAATTGAAGTTTTCTTCTTTCTCGTAAGTGCCATGTATACTTTTCTGAAAAAATTTCAAACTTTTAAATTCCTGTTTCTTCAAGACTGACCTAATTCTTCAGAGCTGTCATCAAATAAGTTAAGTGCCATTCATTTGCTTTGACAATTTGCCCTAAAACTTTTCTTACAGACCTGTCAAGAAGCAGAGTTTGGACCCATGCCTGCAATGCCTGCTAGTTGGTCTTCTTGGGCTCTAGTAAATAATCAAACTTACAAGACTGTCTTAGTCCACTGTGGTACCAGCCTACTCAGACGGATAGAGTTGAGGGACCTAATTTACCAGCAGGGCAGTGTCAGGCCTTCCTCTTTTGCAGAGTCTTTGGTGCAGGCCATACAGTTCAGGTACAATAATAAGAGATACACATTAGAGTAAGGCTGGGAGCTGCCGTAAATTAAAAGCTTTGTGTCCCAAAAGATCCAATTTATCATGTTATAATTTTGTAGACAAAGCTTCTAGGGTTGAGTCAAGATACAGGCACATGAGAAGGAAGCCCAATGCATGCAGTCTCCGTAAGATACTTATTACAGTTCACTTACAGTTCCTTCCAGTCAAGATGCAATTTGCCAGTCAGGAGTCTTTTTTTTTTTTTGGTCTAGAAACATAGTTGATGTTCTCACCCTTCTCAGGTTGGTAAGGAAAACAGCTAGGAATTTTAACTGTAGGTCAAATTCTCATGCAGAGGGAGAAAGGGTTCTGCTAACACTTTTCCTATACTGACCCTTGTGGAAATAACTTCTAACTGAATGAGCTCATTCATTGATTGTGCTAGCCAACTTTATCACATCTTAATTACAGCACTTCCTCCTACACAGAACCCAACAATTTGGTATAGTACATTCTGGATAGAGTCTGTTACTATCTAATTCTGGGATTCGTGCTCTTTTGGCCACATTTATTTCTTATGGTTTACTCTATATTATTTATTTTATTTAAATGTGATGTTAGTAATACTGTAACTTCACTTTAATGCAGCCATCTACGGATAATTAATTGGAAATCTGTGCTATAATTTTCCTTTTAGTCATAGTCTTCCTGGCTCATTCTGTTTGCCTATTTAACTGATATGTGGGCATGCCTCTATCAGTGCCTGTTAGTTTTGAATAAAAAGCTTCTGTAAGCTGGGCACCAGGTCAGAGAATTTCTCCAGGCTTGCCGTCCTGTCATCTGTCTTAAAGGGCCTCATGAATGTATTCCCCTCTTCTGGACCTGATTATCATTATATCTTAGCTCCTTTTTCTTGTCTATTTCTATTTGGACTTGGCAGTAGGACTTTGTGCTGTACCTTGATGCTAATTTGGTAACATATGTGGCCGCATCCAGGATTGCACCTTGGTTTCATTCAGCTGCTAGAGTAGATAAGAGATGCCATACTCTTACATTCACCTATGGTTCGCCATAATATCATTTGCTTGGGATATTGTGCCATTTCCCATCTGAGCAAGTACAGGGAAATCCAGCAATGAGATGCCTAGCTGTTTGGCTCACAAAACTACAACCAATGCATTACTGTGTATCTCATTTCAGGGTACGTGGATTGACAGTTAAATGCCTAAGAGAAAATAGCCATATGTGATCTAAACATAAACCCAGGTTTATAAAGGAAACACCTACAAGAGTTGACTCAATTTTTTCTAAGAAAAACCAGAACATAGCAAATGGTTATGGCACAAATCTATGTATGTAGATAGAGAATGCAAAGCAAAGGGCATCAGAAAGGATGGAATTCATTGAGAAAGGTTTTTTCAAGGAGATATTGGGTCTTTGAACTTGATCTATTAGATCACTGTAAATCACTGTAGGTGAGTCACTAAGGTTGAAAGAGTGGCACTGGCATGGCCAGAATTACAGTTGGAGAAACCGGTTGTGGCAGCAACAGAGGAGAGAGAGAAATTGGATTCCGGTCATCCATGAATATGAGGCTAGAAGGTGGGTGGGTAGGAGTGAGCAATGAGGATTTCCACCATATTCTGGCATTTTTATGAAGAAAAACTTTACCGTAAAACAGTGACAGAAACATTGCTGGACTCGAGCTCTCCGATTTGGATTCTAAGTTTTTGGAGCCTGTTGTGACTCCTCCCTCTCACCCTCCTGCTCTTGGAGGATTGGACTCCCAGGATCACCTAGGCTTGCTGTAATTAGGCATGTCTAGGAAGAACAGGATACAAATGAAGGAATAGTAATGCAATCCTTGGAAGATTTGCATCTCAGTAAAAGCGGCTGGCCCTTAGATCATGGATGGCTCATTTGCCACGCTGGGGAAAAATTAAAAAGGAGATGTCCTTCCTGGCTAGATACTGGTGTCTGCTTATACATTTTGGTATTTCTCCTGCCTCCACTATCAGCACCACAACTGCTGAATCCTCAATGAGTAAAGATGCTTTGGTTATTCTATTTCTCTGCTATTATTGCCTCAGTTATTTTAGATTTTGTAGGAATCATTATGAGTCTGTTTATTACAGTGGTCAATTACAAAACTTGGGTCAAAAGCCATAGAATCTCCTCTTCTGAAAG